TAGGGGCAGTGTTGTGAATGGCCTTATAGGTCAGAGTGAGCAGTTTGAATTTAATGCGTTGGGCAATGGGGAGCCAGTGGATGGAGAGGCAGAGGGGGGTGGAACCAGTGGAGGGATAGGCAGAGGGCGGTGGAGCCAGTGGAGGGATAGGCAGAGGGGGGTGGAGCCAGTGGAGGGAGAGGCAGAGGGGGGTGGCAGAGGAAGAGCGGCTGGTGAGGTGGATGAGTCTGGCCGCTGAGTTCAGGATGGTCTGAAGCGGGGAGAGCCTGCACTTGGGTAGGCCGGTGAGGAGGGAGTTGCAGTAGTCCAGGCGTGAGATAATCAGGGAGTGTACTAGTAGTTTAGTGGTGTCTGGGGTAAGGAAGGAGCGTATCTTGGAGATGTTCCGGAGGTGGAGCCTGCATGTGTTTGTAAGTGATTTGACATGAGGTTGAAAGGAAAGGTTTGAGTCCAGAATGACGCCAAGGACTTTGGCTTGCGGGGCGGGATTGATAGTGGTGTTGTTGGTAGTGATGGGGGAAGGGGGGGGGGGGGGCGCGGGAAGGGGAAAGACGAGAAGCTCGGTTTTGGAGAGGTTGAGCTTGAGGAAATGGAGCGACATCCGGTCAGAGATGTCATTTAGGAGGTGAGTGATGCGGGCGGAGAATGTGGGGGTGAGGTGAGGGGTGGAGAGGTAGATTTGAGTATCATCAGCGTAGAGGTGGTAGTTGAAGCCATGGGAGTGTATGAGTTTGCCAAGGGAGGAGGTGTAGATGGAGAAGAGAAGGGGTCCAAGGACAGAGCCCTGGGGGACCCCAACAGAGAGGGGGAGGGAAGGGGAGGTGGCACCATTGTAGGAAACGCTGAAGGAGCGTTGGGATAGATAGGACAAGAAACAGGAGAGAGCGGTGTCTCTGATGCCAAGGGAGAGTAGTTTATTAAGGAGGAGGGGGTGGTCAACTGTGTCAAAGGCCGCGGAGAGGTCTAGGAGGAGGAGGACAGAGTAGTCGCCTTTGGCTTTGGCGGTTAGTAGATCGTTGGTGATTTTGAGGAGGGCAGTTTCATACTTGCTCATACTCCAAAACGCGTACAGAAGAAGTTGAAAGAGGAAGGCACTTCTAAGTGCAGTATTCCAGGTCTTCTGTCCAGAGTTTGTCTCCACTCTTTAGAAGTGCTGCTCAGTACCGGTTTTCCTATACACCATCCATCATCAGATGCCTTACTTCCACAACATCGTCCACCGACATGCCCTGCTACCCACCTGCATCTATTGAGGAGCAGCATCGTCACCCAGGGCCACTGATAGGGGAGTCAGCCTTTCTGTACTGCAGAGGTCCCCAACCTGCGGGCCATAGACCAGTGCTAGTCCATTGCCTGTTGGTGGCTGGTCCGCACTGCATGGAGGTGGGCAGAAGGCAAACGAGCCAGCATAAACTGCATTACCACCTTCCGACCACCAGGGGGATGACCACTCCCCTTCTCAGGAGTGTATTTAGAATCTGTGCTGCCCTAGGCAATGCAAAAAATCTGCTGCCCCGTGACCCCCCACACACACCACCACAACCCCTCCCCAAGAGAAGAAGAAAGACTCACCATCACAGTGGCTCTCTTCCCAGAGTCTCATGGCCGCTCCCATGGCTCCCCTCACTCCATTCTGCTGCCCAGACCCGGTGCCCAGGAGAACCAATGTCCTTTCTTCCGGGGGGCAGCCTTGCCTTCACAGAAAATATGCCCCTGCCCCTTGTCCCAGCACTACCACTCCCTTCCCTCCTTGTGGTCATGTCAGCAAAATGGGGAACAGGAAGAGAGATGAAAAGAATGGAGAGAAGAAGGAGAAGGAAACGGAGGAGAGCCGGGCCAGGGACAGGATTGTCTTAGAGCACTAGTAAGCCCCGTATACCACTATGGTCTATAGGAGAGAGAGAGACCTCCATGTCCTGGGGGCCTTCATACTGCACCCCACGTCCCCCCTCTCCATGGGGGGGGTGCCTTCTGCGAGACTGGTCCATTGTGTGGAAAGTTGGGGATCTCTGCTATCCTGGGTCTGAGCCCCATCAGTGCAGCACTGGGGCCCAGTTGGGGGCAGAAAGGAGACTCTTAAAATATCTTTTGGCACATGACAGTAGTAATTCCACAAACTGTGGCTCCCAACAGTTAAAGTTCCACGGGCCCCATCAGTTCAGCAGCGGGGGCAAGGGACAGCGAGGAAACTTGTTTTTGAAGCAGGCGGAGTATTCCTCCATGATGACATGCCTCCCAACAGTTCAATTAAAGTTCCACCCTCTTCTTCTATATCAATCTGCCAGGGCAAGCCAGAACTTTGACTTAACTGTTGGGAGCTGCAATTCCGAACGTAGCATGCGGTTGTTGGGTGGTCGTGGTGTAGTTTCTTTGAATGAGTCCCATTTGGTTTTGGTCATCCAGGACTTCAGGAGAGTGCCCTCCAGAAAATAATTATTTAGCAATCTTCTCTGGGCCCTCAGCCCAGCATGCGCAGAGGGCCCGTAATGCAATTTCTTGTCACACTTTTTTTTTTTTTTTTTTTTTTTTTTTTTTTTTTTTTTTTTTAGCTATCTCTAAGGGGCAGCAGCCCCAGCATAACTGGAACCCTCTGGAAAGAACACTCTGGAAAGGTGAAAGGTGAACTGGATTTCCATTGCACTGCTCATACTTCCAGGTAAATGGGTAATACCAGACATGTTGTGCCGGTCTGGCACATGCATGTGCCCATACTGATTGGCATGCACACTTGGCACCCTATTTAAACTGATATGTCACTTGGAAAAGTTGCTGAGCAGGGGCGGACTGACCATTTGGAAACTCGGCACTGCCCGAGGGCCTGGGGTCAGTAGGGTCTTCAGCTTGTTCCTGTGTTTCCTGAGACCTGATCTGCTATATTTGCTTACCCATGCTTCTCCTTGGACTTTGTCTCTGCTTGCTGCCTTATTTCTGCTCATCTGGTTACCTTTGACCTCAGTCTGATTACTGGACTTTCCTTTACCTGCTGATTCTATATTGTGTTGACTGCCTGTTACTGACCTTGTCTTTGATCCTGGACCTGTCCTGTCTGCTGATTCTGTACTGCTTGGCCTGGCTGTTGCCGACCTTGGCCTGCTCCAGGGACTTTCCCTGCCTACCGACTCAGATGTGGCTGACTCCTGCCTGCTCTGGTGCTCCTTCATCTTGTCCTGAGAACTGTGACGGTCAGTTCCACCCACATTTACTGCAGGCATCATCAGCCGGCACTGGTGACACTCCATGCCCCCTCACACTCTCTGCCTCCACCATCAGGAGGTGCAAGAGAGACCCCACAATGTTCCCGTCGCCACCAGGTACGAGACAAAAGGCCTCCCAAATATTTATCACCTTCCCAGCCACCTTCTGGACACCTCCTTCCAGGGATTGGCTGAGGCCTGATAAATAGCCATACTGGACATTTGACTTTCCCTGCCCTATGTTCTGGAACCTTCTTCCAGAAGCAGGTGAGAGAAATCAAACACCCAGCTAGGAAACCCTGACCAGACAAAACCAATAGATCATTGTTCCACCGACTGCAGTACAGCCAAAAACTAAATTTAGCCTAGCAACCTAACTGGAGGAGGGTGCTCCATCACGAAACAGCCAGAATAAAAAAAATGTGAAGAATCATAATTTTTTTTTTCCAGGTGAACACTTGTCTTCTCGCTGGAACTGTGCCATACCTTCCCAATAAAGAGCCTTTTTTCCGCCAATTCTTGCGTATTTTCCACCCTCCTTACAAATGTCAAGCGTTTCACAATCTCCAAAAGACTTCATTCAAATTCTTTTTTTTCCGACGTGGTGCCCTTGGGAAGGACGCTGAGCCGACACAATGGCGTCACCGATTTTTTTTTTTTTTTTTTTTTTTGGTATCAATTATAAATTCCAAGAAGTGTGAACCCGCCATAAAAGTAATAGTGTTCTTGTTTATTTAGCTGAGTCTGTCTGGGCGTCGCTCCAACTGGATTCAAATGAAGCGAGAAGATGTCCATTTTCTCACACTGACTTTTATACGTCGAGCGCCTCAGCCGTTCTCCATCTCTGTCACCATTAGTCTTTGGGTTATCTTGTCCTGAAAAATTCCATTGGAAATTGAAAAAAAAAGAAAAAAAGAAAAATCCCAACAATAGCACCTTCCAGCGGCGGACTTATTACCGGAGCCCCGGCATTCATCTTCATAATATCATCTCAAACAAAAGAAATTAGAAAAGTAAGGCTGTCGGTAGTCCCCTTGTCATGCTAAGCTTGCCCTTGGCTCCGGAGGACAAATTGACAATTGGCTGTTCTAAATTCTTCTCCCCGAAGGACCGGCGATATAATTAAACATGTAAGCTTTATAAAGATTGAATACGATGATTTTTAATTTGCCGCATGCAAATGAACGCCGAGCCGCGCTTACCTCTGGCCCCCGCCACGCACATGTATGTTTAATTCTCCTAATACTTATCGGCGTCAATTTCGTAACCTGAATTTGAAGCATTAACAAATTATTTAATGATTGGCCACAATCTCCGAGAAGAACAAGCTTGTTGAATTGCTAATCATAGAAAAGCGACGAAGGGTGAAGAGGAAAAGGTAATGTAGGTTATTAAAGCCCGGCGTGTACGGCAGATATACGGTTTCACATAAATCTGGTGAGCGGCGGCGTGCGTGTGTTGGAGCGGATTCATTAATGCATGGGCTCAATTCGATATCTGAAATTAGTCCGGCTTCATGCAGAACCATTGCCTGGAGACCGGCTACTGCCTCTTGCCGTAGACCTGCCACTGACTCATTCCCATTGGCCTGGACTTGCGGCTTTTATTGGACGTTCAGCTTTTATAGTAATTATTATAGTAATGTTGACCCAGAAAATGAGACAGTATTTCCATATTGGTGCTCTGTGATTTGATGGGGTTTTTGTTTGTTCATTTACTGCACGCAGGACCCCGCATTCACTATATCCGCTCTCCCCGGACCCCTCATTCACTGTGTCCGCTCTCCCCAGACCCCTCATTCACTGTGTCCGCTCTCCCCGGACCCCACATTCACTATATCCGCTCTCCCCGGACCCCGCATTCACTATATCCGCTCTCCCCGGACCCCGCATTCACTATATCCACTCTCCCCGGACCCCTCATTCACTGTGTCCGCTCTCCCCAGACCCCTCATTCACTGTGTCCGCTCTCCCCGGACCCCGCATTCACTATATCCACTCTCCCCGGACCCCTCATTCACTGTGTCCGCTCTCCCCAGACCCCTCATTCACTGTGTCCGCTCTCCCCGGACCCCGCATTCACTATATCCGCTCTCCCCGGACCCCGCATTCACTATATCCGCTCTCCCCGGACCCCGCATTCACTATATCCCTCCCAGGACCCCGCATTCACTATATCCGCTCTCCCCGGACCCCGCATTCACTGTGTCCGGTCTCCCCAGACCCCGCATTCACTATATCCTCTCCCAGGACCCCGCATTCACTATATCCGCTCTCCCCGGACCCCGCATTCACTATATCCGCTCTCCCCGGACCCCGCATTCACTATATTCGATATCCCCGGACCCCGCATTCACTATATCCGCTCTCCCCGGACCCCGCATTCACTATATCCGCTCTCCCCGGACCCCGCATTCACTATATCCGCTCTCCCAGGACCCCGCATTCACCGTGTCCGCTCTCCCCGGACCCCGCATTCACCATATCCGCTCTCCACGGACCCCGCATTCGCCATATCCGCTCTCCCCGGACCCCGCATTCACTATATCCGCCCTCCCTGGACCCCGCATTCACTATATCCGCTCTCCCCGGACCCCGCATTCACTGTATCCGCTCTCCCCGGACCCCGCATTCACTATATCCGCTCTCCCCGGACCCCGCATTCACCATATCCGCCCTCCCCGGACCCCGCATTCACCGTATCCTCTCTCCCCGGACCCCGCATTCACCGTATCCGCTCACCCCGGACCCCGCATTCACCGTATCCGCTCACCCCGGACCCCGCATTCACCGTATCCGCTCTCCCCGGACCCCGCATTCACTATATCCGCTCTCCCCAGACCCCGCATTCGCTATATCCGCTCTACCAGGACCCCGCATTCCGTATATCCGCCCTCCCCGGACCCCGCATTCACTATATCCTCTCTCCCCGGACCCCGCATTCACTGTATCCGCTCCCCCCGGACCCCGCATTCACTGTATCCGCTCTCCCCGGACCCCGCATTCACTGTATCCGCTCTCCCCGGACCCCGCATTCACTGTATCCGCTCTCCCCGGACCCCGCATTCACTGTATCCGCTCTCCCCGGACCCCGCATTCACTGTATCCGCTCTCCCCGGACCCCGCATTCACTATATCCGCTCTCCCCGGACCCCGCGTTCACTATATCCGCTCTCCCCGGACCCCGCGTTCACTATATCCGCTCTCCCCGGACCCCGCGTTCACTATATTCGCTCTCCCCGGACCCCGCGTTCACTATATTCGCTCTCCCCGGACCCCGCGTTCACTATATTCGCTCTCCCCGGACCCCGCGTTCACTATATTCGCTCTCCCCGGACCCCGCGTTCACTATATCTGCTCTCCCCGGACCCCGCATTCACTATATCTGCTCTCCCCGGACCCCGCATTCACTATATCCGCTCACCCCGAACCCCGCATTCACTATATCTGCTCACCCCGAACCCCGCATTCACTATATCCGCTCTCCCGGGACCCCGCATTCACTATATCCGCTCTCCCCGGACCCCGCATTCACTGTATCCGCTCTCCCCGGACCCCGCATTCACTGTATTCGCTCTCTCCCGGACCCCGCATTCACTATATCCGCTCTCCCCGGACCCCGCATTCACTATATCCGCTCTCCCCGGACCCCGCATTCACTATATCCGCTCTCCCCGGACCCCGCATTCACTATATCCGCTCTCCCCGGACCCCGCATTCACTAAGAGTAAGTGCTCGGTATGGAAGGCTAGGCAGTATGTGAAGGAACAGCGGAGTCAAACATGCCAGGTCAGAAACTGATAATTGGATCATATACAAATAGGTAGACAGGAGCGCAGTCAGGAGGCAGGACAGTATCAACAGAAACAGGCAGAAGCAGAGATCAGAGGCGAGCCGAAGTCAGAGTAGGCGGGGTTCTGGAATGGTCAGCCGAGTCGATAATTGGTAATCAGCAGGTAACGGGGAACAGATCCCACAGGAAGCGCTGTAGATGAGACAACACACAACCTCAGGGGAAATATCCCATTTGGCACCATCATTAGTGACAGATGCACGGGTACCTGCACACAATTGCGTGCACAGGTGTGTGCGAACAAGCGCAGATATGACACGTAGCCTACTGCAATCTCTGTACATCTCGGCTGATGAGAGAGAAAGCGGCAGGACTGGGATCCAGTTAGCTGTGTTATGTATAAATATGATGACAAGGATCATTCTGATAGGAGAAGAGAGCAGAGTGAGTAGACAGATGACCTCAGTCTGTTACTGCTCCTCACTTTCCTGTCAGCAGGTTGGGAGTAGAAAAAGGACACTGATGTCATCCATCTGGCTGTACTGTATGGCAGAGCTGTGTATATTTCAGGACTGGATGGACAGACATTAGATAACACAACTATTATATGTTCTTCATCTAAGTGTAATGCCCTCCAGGTTAGTTAGGTAGCTTTTTGTTAGATAGAGGTTGAATAGCAGCCTGGGGATCATTCAGACTGGGGAGTGAAGTAGTGAGGTTACCTCAGGACAGGCTGTGAGGCTCTAATAGATCAAGGCTTCTGGAGCCCTCCCACCTTTCCAGAAACCTGAGAGTGGAGGAGGGGAGGAAGCCCAGATCTGCATGTTTGAGGGACCCTGGACAATCCCCTGGCAGGAGGCTGGGCATGGTGACCAGGGCAACTCTCAAATGTGGAAAAGCCTAGATGGAAGTGTGCAGAGTCGAGTGGAAGATGGATTGAGGAAGGTTGGAGTGTGGAGCCTGGGCGGTGGTCCCAGGGAGGGGAGCCCACCTACAGGTAGGTCGCTTGAAAAGAGGATCTCCATTGCCTCAATGTCTCCAAGGGAGGACATCCAGAGCAGCAGGGAAGGAGCCAGCCCAGCGAAAGGCCTGAAGGTGGCCACCAACCCACCATGCTGGCAGGAGAGGACAGTGAGAGTACTCTTTTACTCCCTGGGCCAGATAAGGGGAAACCCCATCCAAGTTCTTAACCTCTTAATAAAATCACAAAATCAAGCTCAAGGACTGTTTGCTGATGTACAAGATGTGGGAAATGCATGTTGCCTGGTCGTGCAGAGCATAGGGGGACCCAAGTCAAATCCAGAGGCCATGCTACATAAGTATTTCAATATTTGCCTAATGTTTTCTACCAGGGGTTCATCTTCAAACGGTGGGCCAGTGGCCCAATATCTACCCACTGCCATCTTTAAATGGCAACAGATAAATAGCCATTGGGTGACCGTTCAGCCCCATAATTGTCGTAGATGGTTCGATACACAGCAACACTGTACCAAGCCGAGAGGCTAAGTGCTATATTTGGTCATCACAGTGATCACATGCTCTTATTTACGGTGTTGATCCTTCCCCTTCCTCTTACAACAGAAGATGGAGAGAGATTGTAGTTCTAGTCAATGGGGAAAGAATGAATGGATCAGCAGCTGCAGATACATTCATTGTACATGACTATTGTATATCTCTCCTCATTGGCCGACCTCATCGCAAGCTATCCCCTCTTCAGTCTATCATGAATGCTGCTGCCAGACTCATCCACCTTACTAACCATTCTGTATCTGCCATCCCTCTCTGCCAATCCCTCCACTGGCCTCCATTCAGTGTCCTCCACCCCTCTCTGCCAAACCTCCACTGGCCTCCATTCCGTGTCCTTCATCCCTCTCTGCCAATCCCTCCACTGGCCTCCATTCAGGGTCCTCCACCCCTCTCTGCCAATCCCTCCACTGGCCTCCATTAAAGGTCCTCCACCCCTGTCTGCCAATCCCTCCACTGGCCTCCATTTAGGGTCCACCACCCTCTCTGCCAATCCCTCCATTGACCTCCATTCAGTGTCCTCCACCCCTCTCTGCCAATCCCTCTACTGACCTCCATTCAGTGTCCTCCATCCCTCTCTGCCATTCCCTCCACTGGCCTCCATTCAGTGTCCTCCACCCCTCTCTGCCAATCCCTCCACTGGCTTCCCATTGCCCACAAATAAAATTCAAAACATTAACAATAACATATAAAGCCATTTATAGCTCCGCCCCAAATTACATCACCAATCTTGTATCCAAATATCACTCAAACTGTACTCTCCGCTCCTCGCATGACCTCCTTTTCTCTAGCTCCCTTGTCGCCTTCTCTCATGCCCCTCTCTAGGATTTCTCCAGAGCCTCCCCCATCCTCTGGAACTCTCTACCCCAATCTATCCGACTATCACCTACTCTGCCCACTTTTAGGTGATCTGTGAAAACATCTCTCTTCAGGGAAGCCTATTCTACCTTCAGCTGATAACTGAATCTTCTATTTATCCCATCAGTCCATCCTCCATGATTATTATTTTTGTACCACCAGCCCCTCTCTCTTAGATTGTAAGCTCTCAGGATCAGGCCCCTCCCTCTTACATTGTAAGCTCCCAGGATCAGCCCCTCCCTCTTAGATTGTAAGCTCCCAGGATCAGCCCCTCCCTCTTAGATTGTAAGCTCCCAGGATCAGCCCCTCCCTCTTAGATTGTAAGCACCCAGGATCAGCCCCTCCCTCTTAGATTGTAAGCTCCCAGGATCAGCCCCTCCCTCTTAGATTGTAAGCTCCCAGGATCAGCCCCTCCCTCTTAGATTGTAAGCTCCCAGGATCAGCCCCTCCCTCTTAGATTGTAAGCTCCCAGGATCAGCCCCTCCCTCTTAGATTGTAAGCTCCCAGGATCAGCCCCTCCCTCTTAGATTGTAAGCTCCCAGGATCAGGCCCTCCTAACCCTCTTGTATTGAACTGTATCTTTGCTGTATGAATTCCCTTTATATTGTAAAGTGCTGAGCAAACTTTTGGCAATATATAAATCCTGAATATTAATAATACATTCATTCTGTTTCACTGACGCAAGGATTTATTTATTTTTTGTTAACCTTGGGGTGTCCACTTTCTGAGGAGGGGGTCATGTTGAGGGTGTACACACTGTACTGGCATTTGGATTTTTACAGAAAGTAAAAAAAGCTTTTTTCATCATTCTTGACAATATTTTTTTTAAAACCCAGAAGTTATTAAATACCACCAAAATAAAAACTGTGTCTCAGAAATATCAGATAACCTTCATTTGGGTTCAGCATTGAATGATGGAGTGATTGTCAGTCGAACTATCAAAACGCTGAAACTTGGAAAGTGGAGGAATATTACTGGCAGCTACTGAAGTGGTTAAACATCAAACTAAAGAACATCTGAAAAAAAGGTTTTAACAAAGAAATACCTTTAATTAATGCGTCTCCATGGCAGTTCTTGTTCTTAGCACATTTCACTAGATATAAAGGTTATTCACAGTTTCCAAAAGAAATGTTTTGAAGTCCATACATATTCATTGTAGATATCTTCATCCATATTTTGATCTGCAGCTCTGAAGGACGGAGGAGACCGGTGTAGTATTGGTGTTTATACTATTAACGCCTTTATTAATCTACATCCCGTCACGCTCACCTTGCTTCCTTTTATCTCGACAGCTTGATGAAGGAAACTCACCGGCTGTGTCCTCTGCTCACAGCACGCGCCATGTCTGCTTCAATTTTTGCAAGCCTTAAAAAAAACTTTATAATGAACCTGTGGCTCAGATGTCTTCACAGGTAAAACTTTAAAGTCGGGATTCACTCACGGAAGTACAAAAAATAAAACCTCAACTTTTCAAATAGTTCTATTGGTCACTGTTTATGTTTGAAGACTTTTAGATTTCTTTCTAGCTGGTCTTTTTGGTTTTGTCTGAACGTGACCTAGGTGTAACCTCTACAAAAGGGGCTATTCTAATGGTCATCCACTGTTCACCGGGAACCCCCTGTCACGTACCTGATTGGAGACTGAAATGACGAGGTCGGCCTCATTGTGTCACTAGCCCAGACCCCACTGGAAGTGGAACAGAGGGTGTCTAGGGACCAGGGGGACAAGAGCGCCAGCAGATGGTTGCAGTTCTTGCAGTTGGAGACTTTGGAAGACTGATGAACCTTCGATTCAGGCACAGTAGTAATATGCAGAGTTGGTATGGTGGGCCGCCAGGTGTGCACCAGAGCAAGGCAGGAAACAGGGATGGGAGACAGGAGCAATGTCAAAGGAATAGCTGGGGTCATCAACAGGCGGATAGCGGGGTACCAAATCATAAACTAGCCAAAGTCAGGAGCAGAGCCAAAGTCAGGAACCAGTATCAAGCAGGAGAGCAATCAGAGTCAGGTCAGGAACAACTGGGGTCAGCAACAAGGAAATCACACAGGAACGAGCAGGAAACAGGGAACAGCTGAAGACCAGTCAGCACTCAGCACAGGCAGAGGCACCTCTTAAATAGTCCGTCTGGTGCCAATCTTCACTGTGTGTGTGCGTGATCGCGCATTTCTGTGCACATGCGCACGTCTATTCACCAGTCGTCTCACGGGAATTCTCTTACACCCCAATACATAAATATGGGTTTGTGCTGAAAGGATCGCCGCTACTCCCGACCAGCCTGTGTAGCTGAACAGTAAAGACCGGCCTCAGCTTACATTCTGTACAATGGCCCCTGACTAAGCCCCTGAAAGGTGGGGTGAAACAGGTCAGAGGTCATGGTCTAGCTGGGACATGCAGGCTGAGGCCACTATTTACTGTTCATCCACACAGGCTGGTCAGGAGTAGAGGCGATCCTTTCAGCACATTTCTTCACTTTGGATGGTATCAGGACATGCCTACACTATGGTTTCTGGGAACCAAGGTGTCACGTACCTGGTTGGGGAGCCTGATGTGGAGAGGAGGCGTCCTCTTACTACTCCCACTCGGAGCCCCTGATAGCGGGAACAGAGGGCGCAGAGCCAGGAGTGACATGAGTGCCAGGTAGGTCTGGAGCTGGTGGCAGGCAGGTGAAGACCCAGGAGATCCGGATGCAGGCCAGGTGCGGATGCAGGAACGTAGGTGCAGCAGTAGGTATGGCAGCAATCAGGATGCAGACTGGGACTGGACACAGGAGCGTGGATGCGGCAGCAGGCAGTTATGGCGGTGACCTGGATACAGGCCAGGTGCAGGACTGTGGGTGCAGCAGCAGGTAAGTATGGTGGTGACCAGGATGCAGGCCAGGTGCAGGACCGTGGGTGCAGCAGCAGGTAAGTATGGCAGCAATCAGGATACAAGCCAGGTGCAGATACAGGTAAGTAGGTGCAGCAGAGTCAGACAAGCCAGGTCAGGATCAAACGAGCAAATCAAGTACAAGGGAGCAGGCAAGTCAGGGATAGCCGGGGTCGTTGCAGGCGGAGTTCTCTCTTAGTCAGGTCAGATCAGATACAGGCAACAGAATCAGGTTTTGGAGTGCAGGACGTTATAGACCAGAAGGCATTGATTACACTGTATTGCAGGTTTAAATAGCCCGCCTTGCAGTGACGTGTACGCTCACGCGCATGTGCACTCACACCGCCGCGGTCCGAGGGGGGATCCGTTGCCGTCACCCAGCTGCACGGCAGAAGGATCCCTGACACGGGATATATTCCTGTCCCTGCTTTGAGCGGCGTTGCAGGTATCATTCTATAGGATAGGTCATAGATATGGGTTTGCTACATGATGCCCCAAGATTGCCGCTTTCAAATTTGTTGATGTACTGAAGACAACTCCAGCAAACAAGGGATGGTCTTCAAAAGTCAACAGTTTACCAGCAGCAGAAAACTGAAGGTAGGTCAGGAATCAAGGTCAGGACAAATGGCAGGCAGCCGAGAAAGAGCCCATGTCCATTGGGATTCTGTTCACATCAGAACTGCTTTGTTTCTCCATAAAAATTAGAAACAACTTGAAGCAAGACAACTGCAGGTCAGAAGAACTTGGTCAGAAAGGAACTATGATGATGGAGAACCTATGGAGGAACTATGACAATGGAGAACCCATAAATGATTTAAGATAATTGAGAACCTATGAAGAAACCATGAAGACTGAGAACCTATGAAGGAACTATGATGATCCAGAACCAATGAAAGAACTATGATGAAGGAGAACCTATAAAGAAGTTATGGTGATGGAGAACCTATGAAGGAACTGTGGTGACGGAGAACCTATGAAGGAACTATGACGATGGAGAACCTATAAAGGAACTATGATGATGGAAAACCTATAAAGGAATTATGGTGATGGAGAACCTATAAAGGAACTATGGCAACTGAGAACCTATGAAAGAACAATGATGATGGAGAACCTATGAAGGAACAATGACGATGGAGAACTTATGAAGGAATTATGATGGAGAACCTATAAAGGAACTATGACAATGGAGAACCTATAAAGGAACTATGGCGATGGAGATCCTATGAAGGAACTATGACGATGGAGAACCTATGAAGGAACTATGACAATGGATAACCTATGAAGGAACTATGACAATGGATAATCTATGAAGGAACTATGGCAATGGAGAACCTATGAAGGAACTATGGCAATGGAGAACCTATGAAAGAACTATGGCTATGAAGAACCTATAAAGGAACTATGGCGATGGAGATCCTATCAAGTAACTATGATGATGGAGAACCTATGAAGGAACAATGATGATGGAGAACCTATGAAGGAACAATGACGATGGAGAACTTATGAAGGAATTATGATGGAGAACCTATAAAGGAACTATGACAATGAAGAACCTATAAAGGAACTATGGCGATGGAGATCCTATCAAGTAACTATGATGATGGAGAACCTATGAAGGAACAATGATGATGGAGAACCTATGAAGGAACAATGACGATGGAGAACTTATGAAGGAATTATGATGGAGAACCTATAAAGGAACTATGACAATGGAGAACCTATAAAGGAACTATGGCGATGGAGATCCTATGAAGGAACTATGACGATGGAGAACCTATGAAGGAACTATGACAATGGATAACCTATAAAGGAACTATGGCAATGGAGATCCTATCAAGTAACTATGATGATGGAGAACC